AAGAGTAAAAAGAACAGTGTTCACCTCTGGGGAGGAGGTATAGGGACAGAGGATCAGACGTTACATTAAATATCCTCTGTACTTTGAAATTTACAACATACATTAATTATCCATACCAAAACCGTTGTCATCAAGTCGATTCCGACTCATAGCGACCCTACACGACAGAGCAGAACTGCCCCATAGGGTTTCCGAGGAGCGGCTGGTGGATTCAAAATGCTGATCTCTTAGTTAACAGTCACACTCTTAACCACTGCTCCACCAGAGCTCTAGATCATTACCTATAAAAACCAAAATAAATCTTTTTAAAGAAAAATACAAGCACGTGGTTTTCAGTTAAAAGAGAAAGAAAGAGATCTCCTTTGTGCTGAAGCTGTAGGCAAAATTGTAATGGATCAACTCCCAGGAACCACAAAATGGTGGCTCCTTCAAGGAAACAATATCATGTAGAAAAGACGCCCAGCTAGATACTATCTTATCAATCAAAACCAAGCAGAGCTCTTCCCCATCTCATTCACTTGCTCTCTCTATAAAGGATATAGAGATAACATCTGGGAAATCTGGGCCCCCAGCTCCACATCTGCACTCTCAAAGAATGCAGACTTCCAAGTCATCGCTTTATGCGAGAAAGGAGACCTCTTGTGGAGAAATAAACTAGCAGAAAAGCTCCGGATTTGACAACTTTCCACTGCTCTGTCGGCATCTTCAACAGAGCATCAAGGTACGTTTCTGTCACTAACAGGACTACTGTACTGAACCGCTGAGTTTGTTCAGCCCAAGGTAAACACTATCTGAGAGATAAGAGGAGACAGGATTACCAGAGAAAGCAAACAGGAGTCTTGAAGAAAAGGGTTCGGTCCTCTTCTCTCCTCGTCTCACAAACTCATTCTTATTTATGACTTACTTAGAATGACGGAGTCACAGAGGGAGCCCCCATAACAAGCACCAGGGCTCAGCGCCTTGTTTTGGAGGAGCAAAAATGTTCACAGGGCAAATGGGGAGCCTGGTCAGTCAGTGGGCAGGGCAAAAACCAGGTCTCCTCACAAACCTTCCCTGTGTCATGTTAACTGCTGTTGTTGCTAACAGCCGTCGATTCTAACTTGTGTTGACTCCCAACTCACGTTGACCACATGTCATTAAATAACAGTCAATAAGTGACCAACTGACAACCAATGGGCTTGTTTTTATATTTTTGGTTTTGTTTTGGCCCAAGTAGGGTTATTTTTTTTGTTTCTTTAAATGAATCTAATTACCAACTTTTAAAGACTAGGAGAGTTTGCATAAAAATCTGGATTTCTGTCTTCCTTGAGAATTCAAAGAGTCTGACAACAAGGCTTAACTGGAGTGAGCCACCTCCTTTAGAAGGCCCATTCTGTCCTCCCTACTATCACTCATTCCGAATTGGCATTCATCTTACCCCTCTGGCCCCTGCAGCTGGGCCAACTTATCCATCAGGAGGCCCAAGGCTTTCAGAAGTCATCAGGAGGCCTTGCTGAAAGCATTTTGGGTCATGTCTCCTGGTTAAGAGCCAAACGTCAGTCACGCCAGAGTCTAAAGACCAAACTACCACAAACCATGTGTCATCTTGGGAAGATAACTGTGCTTCTCTGTGCCTCAGTCCCCAATTCTTTAAAACGGGGCTATTACCTACCTTGAAGGTTGTTTTATTTTTTTAACTGTTTTAATTTACAGACAGTAAAATTCACTTTTTTGGGTGTACAGTTCTGAGTTGCAACACATGCACAGATTCGTGTAACTGCCTCCACAAACAGAATACAGAACAATTACATCCCCTAAGAATTCCCCCCATGCTCTGTAGCAAACCTCCCTCATTCCAACCCCTAGTAGTCACTGATCTGTTTCCTGCGTCTGAGTTTGCCTTTTCCAGAGGTTTTTTTTTTTTTTTTTCCCCAGTGAAATAGTGTTTTGTCAGTGATAATCCTTTCATCATTATCCCTGGCACTGTTTCTTTCTGCAAGGAGATGCATGGACAACAGACCTGACCAAGCCCTATAATCCATCTGCTCAGTTCTTGGGCGATTGTTCAAGAATTACTTAGCATTTCCCTCCACATTTCAGGCTTTTCTACCTACCCAAGATACTTCTATCAATCACTAACTAATCCCCCATTAGGTAACTGAAATTCTGGCCCACCATATGCCCACGCTCCCAATGCTTTCATTCCCACCGACTAAAACAAGGAGTGTGTGCAGGGAAATGGAAGAGCAACCAGAGGAGATTCGAATCCATCATGCCAACCCACTGAAACACACGGCAGGAAGAACTCTTCACCCCAGCAATGTGCCAAGCCAAATGGAATGATCCACAGTGCCATGAGGATTCCCAACGACCACCTGGCTGGGGAAAGGAGCTCGTTTCTCGCCAAGCATGACTGGCAGAGAAGAAAGTCACTGTGAGAACGCTTCCATACAGCAGTTCCTTTCAGGGTGGAGAGGTGGCAGTAGGGTGTGAGAAAGCAAACCACACTGTTGAGAACAATAAATGTTCCCCAAGCCGGCCAACGGGTCTCCATTCATTCAAGGGGGGAATTCCCGCCAGTTCATCTGAACTGGAGTCCAAATCACGTTGACTGCCCAATCTAGCAGCACTAATCGGTGAGCCCTTGACCCACCACCCTCCGTGGGAAATCGAGGCCTGCCGCCTCTGGCTCTGTGATCCTGGGCACCTTGATCCTCCCCTCCAAATCATGATTTCTCCATCTAGAAACAGCACTGCACACCAGATGAACTCTGAGGGCACTGACCCTCAAAGGCATGGGCATTGGTCCACACAGGTGGCCACCTCTCCCTTCCTGGAACCCTTTATATTCCAGGCTCCCAGGGTAACATACTCTCCGGAGGTTTCTTTCTCCTCATCTACTGTCTTTTCAGTCTCCTTTGCTGGCTTCTTTTCCTCTTCCCAATTTCTACACACCTAAGGATTCCAGAGTCCTCAATCTTTCACGATACTCTAGGCCAGCATCTCTCAACCTCGGCACTACTGACTACTTGGGCCAGATGATACTTTGTTCACTCAGCCTCTCCACCTACGGTCTACCAAGCATCTCAAACTTGTAGAATCTGAAACTGACTTCTTGACTCCCACCACACACAAACCTGCCAGCACAATTACTGGCACAACCACCCACCAGGAACTAAAGCCACAAAACCCTGACGTCATCCCCAAGACTTCGAATCAGTTCGTGAATACTGTTCCATTTCTAACAAGTTCCCAGCAATGCTAATGCTGCTGCTTAGGGACCAATTCTGAGAACCACTAGTAGAGCAGTCATTCTCAAAATTTATTATACATAAGAATCACCTGGAGTACTTTGTTAAAATGTAGATTCTGACTCAGTATATCTGGAGTGGAAATGCAAACTTTCAACAGGAGTTCGAACCGTAATGAACCAGTTCGAAGCCCTGGTTATCCCTGGCTCCTTGCTTTCTCTCACAGCCCACATCCAATCCTCAGCAAATCCTGTCCGCTCCACCTTCCAAATAGAAGCTAACCACCTCTCACCACCACCCAGCTACCACCACAGTCTGGGCCATCCTCAGCTCTCACCTGAATTATTCCAATAGTGTCCCAACTGCTCTTCCTGCTTCTACCTTGCTTGCTCCATACGGAACAGGGTTTCCCAACCATGATGTTTGGGGACGGATAATTCTTTGTAATGGGGGACAGTCCTGTGCACTGGAGGATGGTCAGCAGCACCCCTGGCCTCTACCCACTAGATACCAGTTGTATTCGCCCCAATCCCAGTTATGACGAACACAAATGTCTGCCAACACTGACAAATGTCCAGGAGGGCAAAATCATAATCATCCCCTTTTGATAACCACCGATATAGACTATTCTCAACAGCCAGCCGACAAGGGCATTCTATTAAGTCAGTTCACATCCCCCTCTACTCAAACTCCTCCGCAGCACAGCCTGCAGGTCCCCTGCTCACCTGGCCTCATCTCCTAGCCCACTCTGCCCTCACGCACCTGGGCCTCCTTCTACCTTTGTAACACACCAAGCTAATTCCTACCCTAGGGCCTTTCAACCTCTTTGGTCCTTCCTTCTAGGATGATCTTCCTCCAGATACTGGCATGGCTGGTTTCTTGATATCATGCAAATCTCTGTTCCTATATCACATCTCCAAAGAGGACTTCCCTGACCCCTCCACTCATGTGAATCAGGGTGTCCACCCCCATCCTGTCCGTCACTCTCCATATATCACATCAACACCTTTTACCTTCACAGCATCTACCACTGTGTGAACTGCCTAGTCAATTAACCAGATTCACTGCCTCTCCCTCTCTAGGACCCAAGCTCGAGAAGAGCAGCGTTCTTAGATGAACTGCTTGCCACTCTACACACCGCCCCCCGCCATGCCTAATACAGTACACAGCACATAACAGATGCTCAATAAAAAGTGGGTGTCATGGAATGTGTTTCCAAATAACTACACACTTGATTACTTAACATTTCCAGTGCCAATTTTTGCTAGAGATTTTGGCCTAAGGCAGTATTTTTTCAAACTACCAACTAAAACCTAATAGGTTAAAAAAATACTAAAACCTAATAATAGGTTAAAAAAAATTTAGCGGTTGAAGGCCAGAATTTTAAAAAGAAGAGAATTAAGAAAAGTGAATCAGTATATGCTGCACACAGAAAGGAAAATGCTGATTCATGAAACTTGTTTCCGTTACCTGTATGTAGTATACAAACTGACATATATGAGAACTGCGTTACTATGGTCAAGGGCAATTAAGGTTGCAAACACTGGCCTAAGGTACTTCAAGATGAAACAACTCGCATGTCAAGGAGTGCCCCCAAAATCCCTTGTTCCTAATATTGATCTCTCTTCACCTTTATCCACTGTATACTTTAAAATTTTGAACGGAGGAAAGAGTTCAAAGTCCAAGAACGATGCCAAAAAAGAGGACACCACAGCTTGCCAAGATACTCGCAGTTACCATAGAAAGACACTTCCAAAAATTCCGACTGACCAAGGTTAAGATTCAGGATGCTTCCAGTGGTGGACGTTTTGTCTGCTTTCGTCGTGATTGGCGTTGACGCTTGGGGAGAGAAAGGTTTTGGGCTGCCGGATAAACTCCCTGCTTGGCCCGTCTTGGTGGAGGCTGGTGAAGCTGAAAAAATATGTAATTGTTAAAAAGACAGATTTACAAATAAACAAACAAAACTTCTAGGTGTGGGGTAAGGGGAGAGTGGAGAAGTTGGGAAATTGTATTTGATTTCCACAAGGCCAACACAGCACCACGGGATAGGGTGGGGAGGGGAGGGTCAACCATTTATTTTCAGCAAAGGGCTTTAAGCCAATGTTAAATCGTTAAAGCCACAAGGAAAGAAGACCTCCCCAGTTATTCTAGTACACACAAAGCTCTAAGACAAATCAGCTAAGCTGCCTCTGAAATTGGTTTGGCCCTTTCACGGTATAAATCTCAAACAGCAATTCAACCAGCCCCACCACAGTCCAGATGCCCAAACTGGGAGCCAGACTTACAAATGGTATCTCATCCGTTTGTGGGAAGACAGAGGCCGGGTCACATCCAGCCGCTTGCACCTGCTTGTGACCAACCGGACCCCTTGGGAAAGCCCCAGCTTCCCATTTCAAAGGCCCACCATTTCTTGTTCTCTAGGGTTGAATAAAGCCAAATTCAGTAGCACAGGGGAGTGAGGGAGAAGTTTGTAAACTATCTCCCTCCCTACTGTGTTTCAAACTTTCACATCAGTAAAAGGAGTTACACCCACACCAGAGGCTTTTAAAAATCTCTCAGAACTCACCTATACACAGCTCCTTCTCAGCTTTAAGGAGCCCTGGTGGCACAGTGCTTAAAACTTCCGGCTACTAACTGAAAGGTCGGTAGTTCCAAACAACCAGCCGCGCAGCAGGTGAAAGATGTGGCAGTCTGCTTCTGTAAAGATGACAGCCTTGGGAAATCTATGGGGCAGTTCTACTCTGTCCTACAGGATTGCTATGAGTTGGAATTGACTTGTCGACAACAAGCTTTTGCTTGGTTTTCTTCAGCCTCATCTCACGTGTGGGGAGGGAGGGCGGAAAACCAAATCACGCACTTTAACAAGATGCAGCATTAATATGAGCCCATGAAGGCCTCCTGAAGATCCTTGATGTTGTGCACCTTTGCCCTCACAGGTCTGCATTATCAGGACTTTCCTGCTAACTCCTCTCAAGCTCACGTAACAACAGCTGGCCCTGGAGACCATGACAGGCAACAAAATGGCCGACTTACCTCAGGTGAGAAACATTTACACTGAGGTGACCTGGTTGTTAAGAGAAAGCTATTGATGGCAAAGGGGTTAGGAATCAAGATCTCTGAAGCAGAACATGGAGACAGGAATCTCAACCCCCACAGCTGGGACTTCAAAAGTGCTCAAACACTGTGGAGGGCAACTGCCTCAGCTTCCTCACCTGTCAAGTGAGGATACTCAAGGGTGAGGATTTAATGGGTTAAAACCTGTACACCAGCTCACCCAGTCAATACACATGAGCTGGTTTTAGGTCCATGCAAAGATTTGCCAGTATTTGTAATGTAATATAGTGGGAGTACTAGGTTGAATAGTTCCTGTCCCTCAAAAATTCATGTCCATCCAGAACCTGTGAATGTGACTTTATTTGCAAATAGGGTCTTTGCAGATGTAATACAGTCGAGTCATACTGAATTAGAGTGGCCTCCAAATTCAGTCAGTATGACTGGTGTCTTTTATAAGAAAAGGGAAAACTGGACACAGAGACAGACACACGGAAGGAAAGCAGCCATGTAAAGATGGAGGCAGAGACTGAGGTGAAGCATCTACAAACCAAGGAATGCCAAGGATTGCTGGCAACCACCAGAGGATAGGAGAGGCAAGGAACAGATTTTCCCTCAGAGTCCCCAGAATGCACCACCCTGGCCAACGCCTTCATTTCAGACTTCTAGACTCCAGAATTGTGAGAGAATAAATTTCTCTTGTTTTAAGACACCCAGTTTGTAAGAGCCCTAGGAAATTAATGTAAAAGGAGCCCTGGTGGTACAGTGGTTAAGCGCTCAGCTGCTAATCGAAAGGTCAACGGTTCAAACTCCCGTTATTTATGTATGTCTAGACATAGAGAGGCCTGGATTCAAGCGAGAACTTGAGAGCCAGACATCCTGGGTTCAAGTCCCCACTCTGCTGCTGCCTTACTGTGTAAACCTGAGCAAAGTTACCTGAGGCTCTGCACCTCCCTTTCCTGACATCCACTAAAAAAAAACAAACCCTTTGCCAATTGTGACTCACAGCGACCCTACAGGACAGAACAGAACTGCCCCAGAGGGTTTCCAAGGCTGTAATCTTTGTGCAAGCAGACTGCCACATCCTTCTCCCACGGAGCAGCTGGCGGATTTGAACTGACGACCTTTCAGTTAGCAGCCAAGCCCTTAACCACTGCACCACCAGGGCTCCTTCCTGACATCCACAGAAAGAGATAATAACAGTACCTACTTCACGAGGTCATTGGGTGGATTAAATGAACTAACCGGTCCATCAGCTGAATGACACCTGGCATCTGTTAAGTACTATGCTACTGTTTGCTCTCAGTGTAGCGTTTCCAATTAACCTCTAGAGCTTTGGTTCCATCACCTAAACCAATGGTTCTAAAATGGAGTTGATCCTGCCCCCAAGGTACATCTGGCAACGCCTCAGCACATTTTTGGTTGTGACAACTGGGGTGGGCTGTGTCATGGTTTGAATTATGTCCCCCAAAAAATGTGTGTATCAGTTTGGCTGGGCCATGATTCCTGGTACTGTGTGGTTTTCCTATGTTGTAAAACCTGCCTCTATGGTGTTAATGAGGGAGGATGGGTGGCAGTTGTGTTAGTAAGGCAGGAGCTGATCTCTAAGACTGGATTGTGTCCTGAGGCAATCTCTTGAGATATAAGACAGAAGTGAGCAGTGAGACAGGGGGACCTCATACCATAAAGAAAGCAGTGCCAGGAGCAGAGCGCGTCCTTTGGACCGCGGTCCCTGCGCCGAGAAGCTCCTAGTCCAGGGGAACACTGATCAGAAGGCTGAGAGAGAAAGCTCTCCCCTGGAGCTGACACCCTGAATTTGGACTTTTAGCCTACTTTACTGTAAGGAAATAAATTTCTCTTTGTTAAAGCCATCCACTTGTGGTATTTCTGTTGTAGCAGCACTAGATGACTAAGACAGGGTGCTACTGGCATCCACTGGGTAGACCCCAGAGATGCTGTTAAACAGCCTACAACGCACAGGATCGTCCCTCACAAGGAAGAATTATCTGGCCCATACTATCAATAGTGCCGAGGCTGAGAAACTCCAAACATGGGGATGAAGCACGTGTGTCTCAGGAATTCCTCTTCCTCATCTGGAAACCAGGAGAGGTAAGGATTAGATTAGCTAATCCACGTCAACTGGTGCTTGGCAAGTGCTCAATAAACATTAGGAATTATTTTGAGAATTAGGCTAAAAGAAAATACTACATTAAAACACAGTTCCTGTTAGGATTAATTGAATTCCTGGCCCAGCACCTGGCATACTCTCATTTCGGGTTGTTATTACTATTACTCCACCGCCTGCCTGTCAGCTTGTTGTACTGTGGTGGCTTACGTGTTGTTATGATGCTGGAAGCTCTGCCACCGGTATTTCTAATACCAGCAGGGTGACCCACAGTGGACAGGCTTCAGTGGAGATTCCAGACTAAGATGGAGTGGGAAGGAAGGCCTGGCAATCTACTTCTAAACATTAGCCAGTGAAAACCTTATGGATCACAACAGAACACTGTTCGATTCTCAGGCTTTGGACATGCCATCGGGAGGGATCAATCGCTGGAGGAGGACATCGTGTTTGGTGAAGTAGAGGGCCAGCAAGGGCAAGGAAGACCGTCGGTGAGATGGACTGGCACAACAGCTGCGACAACGGACTCAAATAGGCAACGTTCCATTCAGTTGCACATAAAGCTGCCGTGAGTCTGAGTCAACTCTATGGCAGCTAATAACATTCCTAATACTACCACTGGTATTGAAACAACAAGGAGAACTGAAGTGCTTGTTATACAAAGAGATAAGAATAAAGATAAAGGCATTTAAAAAGATTTAAATACTATAAATAGAAATCTTTAGTATTAGGATTATTAAAAATTCATGCATGTTCCTAATTCTTCCAAAAGGAATTTGCAGTGGCTCAAAACATCCCCATAATGTGTTTCTCATGAAGATTAAAGACCAAGACTTTTCGGATTATATTCTCTCAAGGAAACTAGCAAGCAAGTCTAACACGAAAGGCCTTATTGTACTATCTGAAGCACTACTTGAAAACTGCAGGGAATTTTGACAAGGATGCCTTATAAGTGAAAATCGCAACAACAACAACAAAAAAAAGATACAAACATGCGGTTGCACATAGAACTCACCAAGTGAGTCCCATTTCCCTCCCTAAGAGATCAAGTTACAAAATCAAAAAGGAGAGGCTGGCAAGCAGTCTAGCATAGTCCTGCCCACTCCTGGTCCTTCGGGAAATTTTAGCAAGAACACAGATAAAGTCATTTTTATTTTGTGTGTGTGTGTGTGTGTGTGTGTGTGTTGTGTGTGTGTGTGTGTGTGTGTGTGTGTGTATTCATGAGTACTAAAAAATCAAACTCGTGCCGTCAAGTTGATTCCAACTCATAGCAGCCCTTATAGGACAAAGTACAACTTCCCGATAGGGTTTCCAAAGAGCACCTGGTGGATTCGAACTGCAGAACCTGTGGTTAGCAGCCGAGCTCTTAACCACCGTGACACCAGGGTTCCATGAGTACTAGGGAAAAAAAATAACTGGAACAACAAGGCTTTAATTTTATAGACACAAAGTTTCTCATGTTAGTAAATTTAAGCACTGAGATTTCAAAGACATAGTCTCTAAATTAAAATTTTTTAACTATGATCAATAAATGGTCAATAAACATGATAACTGAGCTCAACCTAAACAAATGCCCGAGTGGTGCAATAGTTAAGCGTTCGGCTGCTAACCAAAAGGTCGGCAGTGCCAATCTACCGGCCGCTCCTTGGAAACCCTATAGGGCATTCCACTCTGTCTTACAGGGTCACTATAAGCTGGAGTCAGCTCAATGGCAATGGATTTATTTTGTAATCAAGCA